CCATTGACCGTCGATGCCCAAGTCGGAGGTTACAAACAGTTTCAGACTTTCATACGGACTTTCCAAACCAATTCCTCGTCTATTTTTAGAAGATTTGATTGTTTAAAAGGTGTAGAAGTTATCAGCGTACTTTGTTCTTGTATATCTTCAAAGAAGCTAAAATGATCATCGACAATAACGGAGCCTTCTAATGTTTGACCGGACGCCATCTTTATACGTGTCGTAGCTTAGCTAAGATTTATTCCTACTTAATTTAATAATAATTATGAATATGTGCGTAGTTTAATGAAGTGAAATTCATCAACTTAAGTACCAAAGGGAGTTCATTTTCAATGGTTTTAGACCCAACTCTCAACGGTGAAAATATGCGATTCTGACTAACATTTTTATCGGATTCGTATTTGCTCATTTTTTATCCATTTGGCATGAAGAAGATATCATTCAACAGCTAAAAGCATGATCTTTCCAAATGTGTTAAAATCTCGTTCATACGCAGAGTAATTCGAATACAATAGCGCGCTGAAGTTCGATTACCTTTTTTTTATACACCCTGTAGTACTGGTTACCTGCACTTACCATTACTTTTGGCATCCCTGAGCCAGGACCGTAACTAGACATGATAATTGGGGGGGGAGCATATTCATATATTCGTGTTCTGCCCGACGGATTTCTTTTAAAAGCGATTGTTTTTACGGTGTCTGAACATGATTATATAATATTTACCCCCCCCCCCCCCGCGTCTAGTCAGGCTTTTAGCCAGAAGGGCGTACAGGCGTCCTGGGACGCCCCTAGAAAACGAAAAATGGACGCCTTTGGACGCCCAAATTCTGGGGGAAAAGGGAAATTATTTTCAATTATTATAAGTAATAGCATGGCATTCAGGGCGATAGTGATTAAATGTACCCGAAAGCCGAGACTTACTAGAGATTACTAAACCTCTCGAGGCTTGAGGGACATTTCATCACTAATCGACCGTAATGCCATGCTATTACTTTGTAATATCATAGTTGCCGAGGGAATCGCGCGGGGTGTGTTGCCTGTTTTGAATGCTGTTTGATTGTCTTATGATTGTGGTACGAACACTTTTCATATATACGCACGCGCAGAAACACATCTCCGTGTTCATTCGTTTTAGGCATGCGCATAAACGGAATTTTCTCCCACAATTGTAATGTTCAAGATTAGGGAATAAAAGCTGGCAAAGTGATTGTTCGAATGTGTACGGGACGGTGTCGTCAGATACTGTCCATAGTTGTGCCGATGATTTTCGATGAGGTACGCTTTTGTCTTCTAAATTTCCCTCATCAAGCATGCAGGGAAAATTAGAAGACAAAGAAATCCTTTGTTTTTAACTAAATTTCCCCGGGGAAATTTAGTTGAAAACAAAGGATTTCTTTGTCTTCTAATTTTCCCTTGCATGCTTGATGAGGGAAATTTAGAAGACAAAAGCGTATGCATGGGTAATGAGGTAAATTAGTGATTAATCGTACCTCGCGAGACAAAGGATTTCGAGGCAACTATGGTATTATTTCCGTAAGTATATTAATGTATCTGAAACGAAATAGATTCAATTCTCATTATTATTATACATTTCACATTTTGATCAATTTGATGGTGTACCTGGCTGAACGAAAATGTCATAATTAAGTAAAGAAGCATAGCGGCACAAACTCACAAAGCCAAGTGTGTTTGAAAAATTTCGAACGAGCTTGGGACAGATACTGACATGAAGCAACGTAAACTTCAAAGGTTTTCCAGAGGAACGTTTTCTCGAACCCCCCTCTTTACTGTGGATGTATTGTTATACCAAAATTGGACGCCCTCTTTTAGGACCCTGGCTAAAAGCCTGCGTCTAATTATGACCCTGAACCATCAAAGTAAGCATACAGTACATATAGAGGATATTACACGGCGGCGCGAAGATATGACTTTTATCTTAGAGTGGTGAAAACAATATTTTACGAACGAACGCAGCGAGTGAGTAAAATATTGTTTTTAACACGAGAAGATAAAAGTCATATCTTCAAGCCAAGCGAAAAATTGTATAAATAGTAAAAGTCACGTGATCGATATCTTCACTAGTGAAGATATGGAAAATATGTCACTGTGTATTTCTCAATATCTCAATCTCTACTATATAATAAATGCATGTCTCTCATTGTTATAAATTGCAATTATAGCAACAGGAAATTCAACAGTCAACAACCAGAGCCCCAAGTTGGAATCAAAGGCTGGTTATTTTCAAGAAACCGGACAATTTTAAAGCATTTAAAGCTATTGGGAGAACTCCAAGAATAGTTGGCTAGCTCTACGTAAATCGAATCTACAGGTCAGGTATGCTATTTTAAGTCGTATGTTTTGGATTTTGTTTAATCATAGTTGTTTTAATAGATGGTTTGGAGACTCGTAAAGAACAATTATATAACGATCCTATCTCGTCACGTGTGTATTGTATTTTCGCTCAAATAACCTATAACAAGTTTGTGGTTGAGTTATCCATCCGTAACTTGAACAAATACTCAATTTAAACATTACTATTGGTTGTGCGGGAAAAAAATACAATACACGCGTGACGAGATAGGCCCAAATTCGTGCATAAACCGAAACCAACATAGTTAATGAGTTATATTGTACTTTCATCGAGTCTCCAAACCATGTATTCTATTAACTGTGGTTTAATTTATTGGGTTTTCAACAAGCTGCCAATTATTCTATGGCTCTACAGCATGCCATAATCTTTTTTGGTCACGGATGCTTCCAAAAAAGGATTTATTATTGCTTGCTGAAAAATAAGGATTGAGACTCAAACAAATAAAAAAATTAAAACAAATTAAAACTATTTCCCTCGGGAGCAGACGTTAAGTGTGTCTGTGCATGCATGAAGAGTGGCAAATTAAAATGAATTTGTAAACAATATTTACCTACATACTTTGGTTTGGGTTGGCCAGGCTTTTGGGTATATACACTCTCTAATGGATTTTTATTCAGGTGTATACGGTATATTTACATTGAAGTTTACCAGATTATATGTTAGGTAGATTATTAACCAGGAATTTTTGGTTGATTGTCCCCCTAACATATTCTGGCTATTTCAACCATAAAACGTGGTTACCTTAAATAGGAATCCCGGTGAATTAACCAGGACTGATCAAATTAACCAGGACTGTGGTTGAACCTGAAAGTTCAGTTACCTGAAACAGTGTTAATTTTAGATTAACCAGGAAATTTTTAACCAGGATGTTTTTAGAGTATATACTATTATGGTAGTTTAAAAAATGTAGTGTTTGATACTGTTTTTATGATCCATGATACTAAATTTATTTAAATAAGATGTAACGTGGCGGATTACCCAGTAGGCTGATTAGGTGGGATTTTAAGATGCCCACGTGATTTACAGATAATTTATTAAGAATTGTTATTAGTTTTGTCCAATAGTCCTTCATTAGGCAATGATATATTGATTTAGCAGCTAATCCAAGAACTATAAGTTCCTTGGTTCTCACCGAAACGCCTGCACGCAATTTAATTGAAGGGCCGTAGGAAGCTCTTTTTTATTGGGGGGGCTGAAAGCGAGGGCCGAAGGCCCGAGGAAATTTTTAAATTTAGAGTCTTTGAAACGCCATTTCCTGGACTTTGGGGAAGATTTGACAGAATTTTGATGATCAAAAAACAGCGTAGCGGTTTTAGTATGTCAAAATTTACAATTTGGTAGTACTAAATGGGCGAAAGTGTATTTAATTAACTATACAGGGTGTCTAAAAAAAACGCTACGGAAATTCAACAGGCTGTTGTGCATCACAAACTTTTTTTTACATAGGACGAAAGAGCTGTTATTTAGCTTTTCTATGATATATTTCTTAAACCGTAACGATGAGAAATGGCCACATACTCGTCAAATAAAAATTGCCGGTCGAAATCACATTGTTCCACCGTTGGGAATTGAATGGAAAACGAAACATAAACAATTCCCAAGAGGGAATTAAAATTGAATGTTAAATTATCTAAAATAAGCTCAACTATAATCAATCTTCGTCTTAGTGAGACCATAAGAACGTCCATTATTGCATTAAACAGGGTTCAATTAAACCCTGAACAGAGAACATTCGTAATCAAAACGTTTTACGAAACAAGTACCTTGCAGCAGACTCGCGTTGCTTTTGGATTGATTAACTTTGCATAATTAATGTCTTTTCAATTCCCAACGGTGGAAGAATGTGATTTCGACGGAAAATTTTTATTGGACGAGTATGTGACAATTTCTCATCGTTACGGTTTAAGAAATATATCATAGAAAAACTAAATAATAGCTCTTTCGTCCTGTGTAAAAATTGAATTGTTTTGTTAAGTTTGTGATGCACAACAGCCTGTTGAATTTCCGTAGCGTTTTTTTTAGACACCCTGTATATTGGATAAGTTGCAGGAAAGTATGGGTAATATCTTCATTCTTTGCAGTTTGCCATTGATACTGCAGTAGCCGCTTAAAATTAATAAAGCTTAAAATGGATAAAGGTCTGCATGATTTTGAAAAAAGAATGGTTATTAGCAAATTATTGGGGGGGTGGGGTGGCTGCAGCCCCCCTAGCGCCCCAGGTTGCTACGGCCCTGAACTGCGCAATGTTCATGATGTGCTGCCATAATTAGTGGATGTTTCCGCTGACCTTCTGAGGGGCGCAAATGTCAACAAGAGGCTGAACTTACAGTAAGTAGATTCCAAAGATCAAGAAAGTTGTGAGTCCTGTTGCATGTACACACACGTTCGTTATCGACGATAACTAAATCAGCCGAACTTGCGTGAGAATATATCATCTTCAAGGCCCGCGAATTTTACCTAGCCTACATGCCCGATAAATGCTAATCTGCCACTGAAAATGTACGAGACATTTGGGCGATGAAGAAACGATCCCTGTTTGAGAGTTATCCTAATTGGAAAGACGCCACATTTTTACATAGAGTTTTTACAATATATTTTGTTCAATATCTTTCTAAGCATTGGACAGATCATGGCTGCAGTCGCCGGCGGTGTTGCAGGAGGTGTTGCCGCGGGCTTGAGTAGTAGTTCTGGAGAATCAGAAAATATACCGAGAAAAGTAAACAACTGTATTTCTCAAATATTACCAAAGCTTGACAAGAACAGTATAGCAAAGAGAGAAATGAAATTATGCGAAGGTTATTGCTTATTGTGGCATCATCGAGGTCTTGGAACAGTGAATGGTAGAAAAACTTCGGACAAATTGATCTCTTGCGCTTATGCCTCTGTTATACTGGATCTTTGGGCTGCTGACAAGATTGATATAGAAGTAAGAGGAAAACTAACGGACGAATGTGTAAGAGCAGTGATAAAGGTATGTGTCATGGACAGATTGCCCCTAGCCTAAGTATCTATAAGTATTTTCCGCCCCAAAATGCGGGTGGATGGAAGACAAAACAGGGCATGACACAAATCCTTGTCTGGCCGCATGTGAAAATCCGGCTTTTCAGCTGATTGCATGGTACAGCAGACAAAAAATTGTAATCTGTCTTTTGATTGTTAGAGCTAATTAGCCTTTCTCTAAACTTGGATCAATTCCGTCTCTCAAGAGTCCGAGGGATTGGACGCGCGAGGTCCAAGTCTACCTTTCTCACGAAGGTCTAAATCCGCCAATTTTGAGTACTATTTAACAAATATAAAACATTTTCCGTGTTGATATACAGTTATGTCAACACGAGTGGAAATTGGGAAAATGAGAAATTGTGTGGAAACACGAAGGGCGGAGTGTTTTCACACAATTTCGAGTTTTCCCAATTTCCACGAGTGTTGATATAACTGTATATCAATACGGAAAAAATGTTTTATATTTGTTTTATAATATAGCACAAAGAAATATAAAGAAAGAAATTTTCCGACGTTTCCGTGTTGACATTGAGTTATATCAACACGGCCTTTAGCCAATCAGCGTTCAGAATTTACAAATGTTATATTATAATTTAAAATATAAGCGATGTGAAAATAATTTTTCAAATATTTAACTGTAAATCAATTTATAATGATTATACTAACAACTAACTATAGTTATAGAAAGTTTCATTATCACTGCTTACTATCCCTGTTCTAAAAAGTTGGCATCCAAAAATGGCGACGTGAGAAAGGCTAATTAGATTACACTGTTGTTACCTCCGCCAGGAGGTTATGTAATCATCTGGGTTTGTATGTGTGTGTGTGTGTGTGTGTGTGTATGTGTGTGTGTATGTGTATGTGTGTGTGTGTGTGTGTGTATGTGTGTGTGTTTGTCTGTGAGCACGATAACTCAAGAAATACCAAACATATCCGTACGAAATTTTTTGAATGCATTTCCCATCGGCTAAGGAAGAACTGATTAAAATTTGGTTGAATTTGGTTAAAAATTGAACGAGAAATGAACACAATTTTGTCTTGCTTTTCCCGGTCAATTAACAAAATATATTACTGAATGCGTAATTAGGACGTGTATAATTTATGCACTCAGTGCTAAGACAGTAATGAGATGATAAACCTCATTAAGCTTCGGCCTTCATTATCTATTGTCTTAGTTGCATTTCACGCGACCGAAATTCAATGTCTAAAACAAGGCTTACGGAGTTACGCATTATTACGTTCAGCAAAGTGCCAGTCCATTCAAATTCTAACAACATTAGATTACTTCAATACAGGGTGTATAAAAAGAACGCAACCTCGGAATTTCCCAAGAAATCGACATTGTTTTAAAGACAAAAGATTTTAGCTGCCTGGGAATTTAAAATAGCACAACTGTGAAAATTACTGCACGCGCGAGTGCATAAAGCAAAATTTATGCATTTATTTAATGACACTTAATAAGTTTTTATTTTACAAGTACTGTACAGTACAACAACAGTAATATGTTCTATTAGCAATTCGATTTCAATTCGCGGGGGCCTGAGATCTTTTATGCTTAAGAATTATAAAGTGGATTTCTTAGGAAATTCCAAGGTTGCGTTTCACTTCCGAGTAACGGGCGGAGGTATGCAGTCTCTGAGTGCCCTCTAGTTCATAATGTATTTCGCAGTTTCATTGTTGTTATGTGCAATTGACATTTTCCCTGGGACATTTTGATTGAATACTAAATATGAACTTGACTGTTGGTGAAAAGCGACCGGATTAAAGGCGGTTTTCCACGAGGCGGAATTTTTCGACCGAAACGAAATTTCTCTTTGTCTTTTTACAATTAGTTCTGCTCGAGAGCTCATGAAACAAAGAGAAATTTCGATTCGGTCGAAAAATTTCGCCTCGTGGAAAACCGCCTTAAGGCCGGATTCCACGAGGCGGAAGTTTTCGACCGAAACGAAATTTCTCTTTGTCTTTTTACAATTAGTTCTGCTCGAGAGCTCTGAAACAAAGAAAAATTTCGATTCGGTCGAAAAATTTCGCCTAGTGGAAAACCGCCTTTAAGTTTGTGCACGTACTTTATGACTAATAGACCTTATGCATGATGACGTCATTAGGTGTGATGCTCGCGGTGAATTCTGGTCTTAGTAATCACTGCGAGAAAACCATAGAGATTATAAAAGAATAGAGTGGGCATTTGAGGAAAAGTTCAGGCAAATGAAAGGGACAAATTGAAGCTGGGGGCAAATTTGAGTTATGACCCGGATGTAAAACCAAGAAATTTTTATCAACAGTCCTGGCTGTTTTACGTTTATTTGTGGCGAAGAATTAAGGAATTTCCGTTTTATATCCTGGAAATTTGGACGTGCCGAAGTTACGAAAAAGCGCCGCTCTTCTACATCGAAAAAAAGCACCTTACAACAGTTCTACCGTTTCAAAACTTGTTTTGTATTAAAGCGTCATTCTTAATTTCATAACAGATCTCATATGACTATGTCATAGATATTAAACTGAACCAGTTTCAGAGGTAGATGCGATACATATTACAAAGATAAAATATCAGATAAACCTTAAAAAGGTGTTTTCGACCTGGTCATGTATTTAGTAAGCGTCATGTATTATACATGAGCCCATAGACGGATTTTCTGGGGGGTGCTACCCCCTAATATTAGCTATAACCCCCCCAAACAAAATGTCCACCCCTCCAAGAAAATTTTCAACCCCCCCCCCCCAATATTCGGCATAATAAATAAATAATTAAATAGTCCACTCCAACGTGCAAAGTGTTGATGATACAAAATAAACGTAGGAGTACACTCGAACAGAAAAAGACAGTGTAACTCTCTGGAAGTAATCGCTCCTCGCTTACATTAACTTGTTTATTGGAGCAATTGTAAAGTTTTGAAACTCTATTATCTCCCCTGAATAGAGTTTGTAGCGCCTTGTCATGCAAATAGCTTGCACGCAAGGAACGTTTCAAATTTTTACGAACACTATTTTGAGTTTTTAATTCTTTTAGGAAATAGACGTGCCTAGATTTAATCTTTACGCCCCAAATATTATTTACGTCGCAGTTGCATCATAAATTGTACTCGGATTCAAACAACACAATGTCAATGACTTTATAAAAGTAAAAGCATATTGTGTATTGTCCTTTTGGGTTTACACTTTTACAGGTTCATTTAACTTTAAGTCTTTAACTCTCTCAAGTCTCAACAGACAATCGGACATGCCAAATCCATTGATATGACAAATGGACAACTTCAAAAAACTTTTTTTCGAAGCTAGAAATCATGATTTTTTCAAATTTTTCCTGGGGTACTTTGTTTTCTGCTCTCTAGACTCCCCCTCGCGGCTCTAGTGCTCCATCCCTAGAATATAGACCTTACTGGGATTTGGTGACACTTTGTGTTGCTTCAGTCACCTGCTCACGGCTCACCTCCCCCCATTTCTGGCACCACCCCAGTAATAAATATAAAAATCCGTCTATGCATGAGCCGTCACGGCTGCTCAGGTATTTCGCAGAGGTCAGAAATTTCGCTTGACAGCTCGAATGGGAATTCACACCCTGTCAATCAGATCGCGCTTCTACGTCCGAGCAACAAGAATTTACATCCGGAAATTCCTGAAATTTGCTCCCAACTGGAAGCTTTAATTCAATTTGTCCCTCGATTTCTCCCTGAATACCCACTCTATTCTTTTGTAATCTCCATGGCGGTAAACTATCCAACAAACAACATGAAAATGAAGGCAACAGTCTGAAAGAATTTTCTGCCTCGATAGCGTCTCGCTGATTTCAAGACGAAAGAAGACAGCATCAACGCCGACGCGAAAGGTTGGACAAAATCATTGGCAAAACTGCCTCCGTTTAACCACGAAACGTTGGAGAATAAGCTGGCGAAAAACAGCCGTACAATGCCCCGATAAAACATCCTGAAACACTGCACGTAAAATTGCCAGCATCTCCACTTCTTTTACCCGTACTAGTGGATGAAAGCGGATTGTTGCCGTTATTTTCAGGGTGTGAAATCCCTAAATATCCGTGTCAGAGTTCTGAAATGAAAGAACTAGACTTTTCATGGGCTTGAACAGTCTCTAAAATACGGCAAAGAACAGCATGCAGCACGCTCACCTTAGACAGTGGCCATATACTGAATTGTTTTCCCGCCGTGACTACTGAGACCAGAATTCACCGCGCGCAAGTCACCTAATGACGTCATTACGCATAAGGTCCATTCAATTTGACCTTGATATTTAAAATAGAGTGTACGGTACCTGAAGTATTCAATATCCTGCTTGTATTTACATAAGTGTCGTATCCTCTGCCTTCAAGCGATTGCATTTTGCGATAGGGTATTTTCGTGAGCCGTGAATTGCCAGTATTTGTTCTCGTGAAACGACGGATATTTGTGTCGTCAAACATGATTTGCATGGCTAGTCATGAGCCGTGGTTGCCGGTAATTTTTGTACCGGATTTGATGACTTGACGAGTAGTGAGAATTGCGAACACGAAGAAAAACAATGCTTTGGGTGTAACAATTTTACTAGTTATGTCCGTTGATTTAAAAAATCAGTGTTGAAATAAGTTTCCAAAACGTAAAAACAGGCTAATGGGTTAAGACAGAGGCGTAGCCAGGATTTTTGGTCAGGGGGACCAGCAAAAACCCAGGTGGGGCCAAAAAGTTTCCAGACCACAACATTTTAAATGTCCCGCCTTTTTTGGTAAAAAAAATTTCCGAACAATAACATTACAATTGCTTTCGTAGCACTTTTCCCCATTTCCGTATTACTTTTTCCGATGCTTCACCACGAAGATTTCCACAACATTGACAATTTTTCGACGGGTCATAACAATAGGGGGGGGGGGCGGCACGGCGCCACTGCCGAGCCCGCGTTAAGAAATCACTGGTAAAAAACAGATTGGTTTAAACTTCATCTAACCCTCATTTAATACATATTGAAATAATTAGGGTTAGAAAAGGTATGTGTTTCAAGCTGTGTGCCGCAAATAAGCGAACAAGATTTTAGGTTTCACACCGATGCGCAGCAAAGCATATATTCTACAGAATTTTTGCATTATTGACAGCATGAAGTTATATAATCAAGGATTCCCTTTTTTATACAATACATTTTGTCAGGGGGGGGGGGGCAAAATTTTGCCAGGGGGAGGCCGGGGGTCCCCCGACCCCAGCCGTGGCTACGCCTCTGGGTTACGAAATGGCATTAAAAGTCGAGATAGAAAATAAAATTTACACATTCAGTTAAAAAGTAACGTGTTTTTTTTTAAATTTTTGGTAAAATGGTTACTTTTTAACATGTTTATATTTAGGTACTGGACGCTACAAAAACTGGTTCATTTCTGGATGGCGCTGGCTTCAGTGAGATGATCGCAGTGCATGAGCGAGAAATTTGAGGGACCTAAAAGACTGGATCGAATGTTGTGCCATAGGAGATGCTGACAAAAACTGTGTTTCAGTCGTTGTCGATTATTTTGTTGAGAAAGGGATTATTGGCAAGGAAAGCAAGTGGTTTGGAATGAAACAAACTTATCCTACCAAAAATAAAGGTTGGTAGTAATATAACATATTACATATAGGACATATAGTGAGTCGTACACTTGAATCTTGGACAGATGTTGAATCATTGTTAAATAGCTAGTGCTGAAACTAAACATGATTGGCTGATTTGTGGTCGCGTGGATTTATATAATCCTGCTGGGCAACAAGTGAAGAACTGTTGCCCGTTCCGACCGGCTACGTATATACATATATAAATGCTCCAAATGGAGTGATCAAAAATACAGAGAGAACGTTTTTCCAGTTTACGAAAGAATACAGTATCTATAAGGTCCGAATTTTGCATGTATGTATTGAATTAAATTTGCGACTTCTGAAATTAGGGGCGCTTTCCATTTAATGGTCGGACCGGTCAGACCCAAATTTTTGTCTCTATATTAATGGAAAGATCTGGTCTATGTTTCTCAAATATCTAGCGAAAATGGACCTCATTCTAATGCTATCTAAATTTTTCGGTCAGATAGGTCCGAAGCCCAACCGTTTTGTGTTCCATTCAACAATTTGACCGTTCTGACCAAGTCTGGCCGTGTTAATGGAAAGCGCCCCAGGTCACACTTTGCTCGCATTTTGCGACCGCATCGGTCGAATGTAAAGTTATACGGTCGACCATAATTAGAAACGTCGGATTCAACTGTTTCAGACGTCGAATTTCGCATGTACATAATCCAACCTATTGAATTCAGACACACGTAAAATGCGACGTGTGAAATAGGCCTAACAGACTCAGCAAGTAGAACGTTGTGGACAAGTGTAGGTGAACGTTCAGTTGTCGAAGGTTAACACAATACGTATTGTTTTCAGCGCCTAAATAAAACGTAATCTGAAAAGTAATTAGATATAAATTGCTTTGTAACAATTGTAATTAGTAATTCATAATTAATTACTTTTTGGACGAAAGCAATTTGTAATATGTAATACTGTGTTCGAGAAGAAATTGTAATTTTTACTCACTACTTCTTTGGTAATTTTCATCACATGCAGATCTAATAATCAGGGGTACTGGGATATTTTTTCTATTCACGCTTTATTTCCATTTCAGAACCACAAATACAATTACTGCTGGAGGTCCGTCGTATTACGTTGCAAGATGAGGTCCCAGATGGTTTCATGTCCGCGTTGTTGGCCATCTTACGGTTTGCAGACAGCCTGCACAACACTGAAGATCCTTTATTACGAAGATATTATGATGATACAGAATATGATAAGGCAAAACCTGGTTTGGACGAAATTCTTCGCAGTTCAGGTATCAAAGTCTTATAATCCCAATTAAATTATCCTTTTTTATTCTTCTAGATTATAAAGTTTTTAAATAAAGACGAGAATTACATAACTTGAAATGATTATATGTCAAACTCAGAGTTTATCAATAAAAGGGTTTATCAACATTTCAGAACGTTTTGCGAAGTCTATGGTTGAATTGTACATTAAATTGAAATTTTACATTAAGCATAATAACATACCTAACATATATATTTGGGAAATTCATAATTTTGTAATTAAAAATGATAATTTTGTTTTTTGTTCAATTTTTAAAATGTATAGAATAAAATGATAGTGGGACAACCGCTTCAAATACTTTATGTTTGGAAAGTATAGTTGTTTTGCTAGCAAGGCAATAGCTAGAAATATATCAAATCCGAGTATGACTAGCGTACTTTCTCCATGCATGATTTTTAGTTAAATTAGCTGTTTATAGGAACCGTTAATTTAAAAGTCATTCGTGCCCACCAAATTCCGATCCCGTCGTGACATTTGTCAAATTTGAACTGTCTATCTGATTCTGTATACCTAAGCACAGCCCTCGCAATCTTTGGCGGGCAATTTAATATTTTGCGCTCACTTTTTGTTGCATGTGATGCAACTATCATATAGCTTAAAATTCGTGTCCGTTGTTGGTGGTTAAACTTGCGGCAGATCACGTGGAATGTGAGGTAATGCGTCAAGTACGACAAATACCGAGTTATACCGACGAGCATTTACGAGCATAATAAGCATAATTATATATTTTGAATCATGTGCACGTTTTCGTCGAGCAAACGCAAAGAAAATGTTGATTGTTCGCCGAAAATTTACGTAATGGAGCGCCTTAGAGAAATAGATCGAGGTAGGTAAAGCTTTGCTGGGTTTTTTTTTACCTTATATTCTGTTATTTGTTGTGATTTTGGAGCCGTTGTGCTCGCACTGATTATTTATCAGGAGTTTATTACGAGGTTTATTACATAGCGTGAAAGGCCACGCTATCAAAATACTCAATTTTATACTCAAACTGAAACGGAGCCATTGTTCTCGCACTGATAGTATTGTGTACAAAACTTTAAAACGATATGCAGTACATTTTGTAAATAACATAAAATATAAATATCAAACAAAATTCTCATTTATAATACTATTGAAATTTAATACAACGAAATAATCTACTTCGATAATTTCTATCATAATTTTCAATTTATTATAGTAATTCACCGTTTCCGTTGGTTTTTATACCTTCAAAAGGTTACAATAAGCTAAATTTGTAGGAAATAACATTTAGTTATAAATTTGTAAAGGAAACCTTGACCTTCTTATTACCGCCCCTTGCAACTAACAATAATAATAATAATAATAATAATAACATTTCTATAGCGCATATACATTGCTGTTCTATTGCACAATGAACGGTCGCTCATAAAAACATTGCCTATTCGCGTATTATTTTTCAATAAATATATTGATGTTAAACTTACTGAACAAATATTTTAAGTTTCAAGTCAGTTGTACCAAAAGTTATAAGCACTAGCGCATCATAAAGTTTCAGATGGCATGCAACATGTACGCATTGCGTACCTATTTTTTCCACTTTGCCAAGCTGTTTCAAGGTGGCGTTCGTTCAGTTGCTGCGAATTATAAAAGTGAGATTTTTAGATTTTAATAACCCTAAACCTAACCTTGGAGACTCAAAAAAGGTTTGATTCAAACCTTCGACGTATGCATTCGTAGGTGCAGGCATCCTCGTTCCCAGGGCTTCTCGGCTGCCTGCGTTGCCGTAAGCCCTGGGACAAGCCAAACCGGAACACCACAAATTTTGGTGTTTTCCGGAAGTAAACGTGCTCTACTGCAGCTAAAAATACTGACTGTGCATTAATTTTTACTGAGGAGTGGAGACGTGTTGGTGAGAAGAAAATATTGGATTTTCCTTTTGTTTTGATGTATTTTCCACCATCAAGGGAATATGTGTAGACCACCTAATGGAATTATACATACTGGGGTTTTATATTTCGTTGTATCGTTAATATTCGTCAAAATACAACCACATTTCGGTCTCGTATTACATGTATCAATTTTCACGTATGATGTAAACATGATCGAGTCGCTCGAAATGTGCTCGAAGAGGTTGCTGTGATTCGAAACATCATGGGTTCTTGTACAGATGACCTGTTTCAACACGCGCTTGTAAAATCACTTCAAAGACTGGACAAAGCCGGACTGGAAATTAAAGAGAAGCAATACGAAGCTTTGTCGTCTATCGTATGTTGTATATAAAAGGAACAAGAACGACATGTGACATGTCTAAACGGCGGTGTGTGTCTGTTTACTGGGCTACAACAACGGCAATAACAATGAATCACCTAACATTTCGAGAAAATATAAATTATAGATAGATGTCATGCATGACTCCATCAGTTTTGGGTTTGAATTGCTAGATTTAAATTTATATTATGTATACAAAATCATGCGTGTGTATAAAATTCGAGCAAAAAAGCGCAAGGTCAAGGTGTTTGTTTGGCCATATGCCCATCATGTAGTATGAATATTGAACACCGTTTTATATAGTACGTTTAAAACGTTATTTCCATGCCGGATAATCCTGAATCCTTCACCGATTACATGTGTGGCAAATGACGAAAAATAATTATGTAAAATAATTAAACTAATATGTCTTTGGCCATGAATGCAACTCACTATGCTGCTTACATCTGACAATCAAAACTATATGCATGACTGTATGGCCCAATACAAGGGGAAGGGAAATTTGAGGGAAATTTTTGTTTTCAGATTACAGTATAACAACAATATTTCCTGCATTCCAATATATTTTCTACATGCAAGTGTGCCTTCTGTTTCAGATAGGGGCCAAATCATTTGAGGGTGAATGGGATAGCCATGGTTGGAGGGTAATGTTAGCAAATTTAACTCCCTTACATAATGTCAAGTTATCACTGGTCAATTTTTAAATTTCTTACAATTTCACATCAGGCAGTTCATTGACCCCCCAACCCCATTATCCAGAAGTGTACTAAGCGTTTTCTAGTATCTATCCAGGTGTCCAATCTAAATGTCCACCACAACAGGATGTATACCTGAGTGATAGTAAGGGAGGTGGGGATAAAATTCTGATTTATCAATATATTGCTATACATATGCACATTAAAAATATGAGTTTTCCAGTTCAATATATCTATAACAGGAGGCTTAAACCAGAATTTCAGAATACAAAAGCAACTTTTATGTCATTTTTGTAATGGTTTCTTTAAAATCCATTTTTATACAGACGTGGTAGGGTGTGGCCTGGCTAGAAGCCTGCATATACATATACAAATTTTCAGTTTTGTCAATAATAATAATTCATTTATAATTCAATTCTTACAAGGTTTGCAATAAGACAACAGAGTAAGTATTCTACTCTGAACTGTTGACAGGAAACAGGAAATTCGTGATCTCATCCAATATGACATAAGAATTTGAGACCCCCACCTCGGGAATGCAGGGGCATTCACTTAAGTTGGTGTGTGAAATTCAGTGAAGTCCCCTGCAGCCAGGATAAAATGGCAAGGTAAATTTCTCCTGTCCTATCATCACTAGGTATTCAACTGGAATTTTCACTTGAAATTTCCCAAACCATTCCTTTACTGTCCTGTAAAAGCTTTTCCTAGCTTACTGCTTTATTTCAGCATTTATATACAGCAGATAAAAGACTAAGTGACCCCCCCACATGACCTCACTCATTCCCCAATTTGGACACTGAAAGTAAGTGTCTTCCCTGTTTGCCAAGAAATGATAAACCAGTTGAATAGGAGGCAATTGTCCTTGCATTCCCCTCTGCTATGCCAAAGGTGCAGGGATTCAAATGACTGGTGCAATTGAATATGCTTATAAGCTTATTCACTGTATTTAAATAATTAAAAGCTATTAAAATTACTCACCAATAATACAACTGAAAAAATTCAGAAATAGTAAAATACACCTATAATATTCTATCTGCTATATTTATAAATTCCAATTGGTCATTTTAATATAGGGCCATTTATATGTGGCCAAGTGGGTAATAGGGCCATAGGCCAAGTGACCAATAGTCCAATACCAAAAGCATAATAAAACACAATATATTACACCATTAAAACTTTACTATCGTAAATATATATTATTAAACATTTTATATTTACAATTATACTTGAGCACAATGTTTTAATAATAGACAACTTTATAACAAGAAAATGTTAAAATGAAGAAACTTTTTAATGGCTTCATAATTTCTTTCGATATTGTTGCTTACTTCTACTTTATAATTGTCCATTTTGTTATTTTCTTTCGCTCGGTTTGCAAATTATCTCCATTAATCCATAGAAAACAGGCATTATACGTTTGTATTTCTTCGTATTTCGAACGCGCACTCCTTGAAGGCAGCCATATTGCCGAATATAAACATCCACTTGACGAATAAACTTTTCATATTTCACTCTATTTCCAACGACCAATCAAATCACTTCTGCTTCGGCTTGTCCCAGGGCTTACGGCAACGCAGGCAGCCGAGAAGCCCTGGGAACGAGGATGAGGTGCAGGCCGTTCCCGATACGGGCCGACCATTGGCAAACTCGCTAAAATCACTCGGAAAAATACTTTTTAATACACCCTTCCGGAAATACGTCACTTTGGAGCCTCGTTTTCGTGTATCTGACACATAGAAATAATAGATATAGAATGCGTACTCCTATCTTTTCTCAGTGAAAAATTTGTCTCCACAAAATGGCGGATTTATAAGGGCATTTTGGTTCCCAGGCGACAGGGAATTTCAGTAGGAATTTCGCGCGGTTGCAGAGAGTGCACATTGTTTTTTCAAATGCAAAGTTTGCAAAAAAATTTTATATCGAGACTTAAAATGGGAAAAAAGTGTCTAAAAACCCATTCTAGTGGGCTTTTTTACGAAAAGCAACAGTTCTGAACAGAATATATACAGAAATCATCGTTTAAAAATAAATTTTCAACGTTGTTGTGCAAGCCAAAAC